TTTTCTTTTTTATCCTTTTCTTCTTCATCTCCATAACACGTAGGTTCTATAACTCAAAGAAGAGAATGAAGAAGAAGAAAGAAGAGAAGAGAAGAGAAGAGGAGAGGAGAGGAGAGGAAAGAGATAGAGCAGAGAGAAGAGGAAAGCTAACAAATCAAACCCAAAAATCTGGGCAAAAATCAAACCCACAAATCAAAAATCAAAACCAATTAGGCAAATCAAACCCAAAAATCAAATCAAAAATCAAACCCAAAAATCAAAAATCAAAACCAAAAATCAAAAATCAAAACCAATTAGGCAAATCAAACCCAAAAATCAAAACAAAAAATCAAACCCACATATTAAAACCAATCAGACCCACAAATCAAAACCAAAAATCAAACCCACAGCCACAAACCAAATGAAGCCGTTTGGTGGCTGCTGAAGCCGATGATGAAGCTTGTCTTTCCTCCTCGTGGACTCCAACGGTGATCTGTGGGTATACACAGTCCATCGCCATCACCGCCGCTCCGTGTGTATACACACATAGATCTATGTGTATACATAGATCTGTTCCCCCTCTCTTCTTATCTTTTTCTCTCTTCCTCCCTCTTCTCTCTGTTCCCCCTCTCTTTCTTCTCTGGCCTCTTTATTTCAGAGAGAAAAGAGAGGGGAAAAAAAAATGCAAAACAACGTCGTTTTGAATTTCAAGCTACTCAAGTCTCTAATTTTTTAAGTTACGAAACAATTTTCTTAAAACTTTGTATATAACTTCCAGATTCCCAATAATTTTTTCATATAGTCATGTGAAAGTATACATGTAATTATTTATACTGAGAAGTGAGGACTCCAAGGACAGTGGAGGTCTGGGATCTGGGGTGTAAGAAATCATACAAATTATAAGTGTCACATGGATTTGTAACATATGGTCAAATGCTATTATCTTTCTTAGCATGCAAACAACATAAATTAAACGACTCCCATAGTGTAAGATCACCCATTAAAAAACACTGCATCAATGCGCATGGTCTATGTGTTTTTGGGCTTCGCAATGGCTGGCGCACACTGGGTCCACTGTCTTATGCTTGAAGATTAAAAAGGCTGTTGTATTTTCAAAAGTCTGCAAAAGTATGTGTTGGAGGAATTTTCAAAATGTCTTTTTAAAATTTTTTGTTTAATTTTTGGGATTTTCAAAACTTTTTTTTTTTTTTTTAAAAGTTTGAAATAAGTTTGGAAATTTTGTCCCACACCGGAAAAAGAAAAAATATGGAGCATTTAATAAAGTATTATATGAAATATTTCTTTAAATATGAAATTGTGAAATGGATGCTAGTGTACATGCACTCACACCATAAACAAGGATGGCGCTTCGCACCACACATGCGTGGCGTTTGATGGCGCACTTAGCACGGACGCATCGGTGCCAGAAGCCATGAGGATACTTTTCTATTTGCATCAGACAGGTTGGAGCGATGACAGGACATGACCATTCGATCAGATGCATCAAGGCCTATAAATAGGTTGCGAAATCAACCGTTTCAATCCATCCAAAAAATCTAGAAAGTGTTCTTTAAATCTCTCTCTCTCTCGATCATGATTTCTGGCTTTTTTACTAGTAATCAAATTCTTGGCTTTTTTACTAGTAATCAAATTCTACAGACTTAATTATTAGTGTTTTAGTTTTCTTGATTATATGAACAATATTCTAATTTGCTGTCATCAGTGCAGTGGGCTATGTGGCGTTTGATGGCGCACTTTGCACGCATTGGCGCAAGACGCCATGAGGGCACTTTCCTATTTGCATCGAACAGGTTGGAGCAATGACAGGACATGATCATTTGATCAGATGCATCAAGGCTTATAAATAAGCTGCGAAATCAGTCATTTCAATTCATCCAAAAAATATAGAAAGTATTCTTGCAAATCCCTCTCTCCCTCTCTTGATCAAGATTTTTGCTTTTCTTACTAGTAATCAAATTCTGCGGACTTAATTATCAGTGTCTTGATTTTCTTCATTATATCAAGAGTATTCTGATCTATTGTCATCAATGCAGACACCGGTAGACTTAATCTTTAGATCAGGTTTCATTGTATCCTGGAGGCGAATTTGCTATAACCCTTGCACATCTTTCGATGGGTGCAAATATTGTCTTTAAGCAAACGACTAAGTAACGTGACTTGAAGCACCGAATTTCTGTTCTACATAGATAAGATCATCGCCAAGTTTTGAAGATCCGAAAATCACCAACTGAAGAATTCAAGACGAATTGTTCCAACAGTATGTGTAAAAACAAACCCTAATGCCATCAAGTTAGCCTTTTGTCCAAGGCTTTGGCTTGAGTGTCTTGTTTATCTGAAACTGTGTTGACTAGTTTGTATTTTGGTATAATACTAATTGATTAATTACCAAAAAATTAAAAATAAAATAGCTCATTTGGCAAGCCTTTTTGAATTCTTTTTTAGAAATAAGTATTGAATGAAACTGTGACACATCTAATATAGGTGCTATTATTAGTTAATAAAAAATTATAAATGGGATTAGATGGACACCGTTTATATTTCACTAATCCAAATATGTAGTTCATTACTACAATATGAAATTTCTCATTTATTGATGATATTATCACCCCTTCTAAATTGATTCCTTCTATTAATCCCCTCTCTGTGGGAGCAAAAATTATTCATTATCGTATGCAATATTACAGTACACAATATCTCAATTATTGATTTGTGTGGTGCTGAATAACTTCTTCTATGGGAGTGAGGGGGTGGTGAATCATAAGTTCATGAGAGCACGCCCAATAATTATGTTCCCTATAGAATTGGCATTGCTTAAAAGGCACTGTCATGCTTGACATCAACCCAAGTAACATCATGATGTTTGCTCGTTCCTTAGTCCTATTACCATAATTATGAAAACATAACTTTGAATCTCTTTTATTGGGGTATTTAAAACCCATCCATATTTTCAAATTTTACTTCATTTGCACACATTGTACTTGTTTTTCTTGGAAATTTTACTTCATAGATGATCAGTCATTGGGAAAACTAAGGTGGGTGGTGACTCTGTCTGTCCAAGTAGAATTTCACGACTATCATGCAAGCATATATTTATTGTGTTACAGTACATATTAGTTCTTTGTGAGTTGCATGTCTATCTTTCTTCACTGTCTGAAATTTGCTTTGCTGTTAGAGAGTTCTGGTTCATTGTGCTTCTCATCCAAGTAGAATTTCACTAGTACCTTGCATTGCAGTTAACTCATTAAGACACACATGTTCATAAAGAAATCTCTAGCTCCGTCCACATGTCAAACTCATTTTGTCATATATGCACATACATGTTGAAATTAAAGAAAGGTCGAGTCTTGTCAGACCCATTATTTTTTACCTTCTATTTTTTATCAGCAAAGAAAGGGAATTTCATTAATATGAAGAAAAATAAAAAATAAAAAAAACTGTACAATTGAGAAGGGTTAGGGAGATCTGCATCATTGAAAAGAGTATGCTCTGCTTCTTCTTCTTCTTCTTCTTCTTCTTCTTCTTCTTTTTTTTGTGAACGCAAAGAGTATGCTCTGCTTGTCATCGTACACCTTATTCACTGTGTCTGTTTACTTCTCCACATGCAAAACAGAGTCGCACTTGTGGGGAGTGTTAGACAAATAAGGTAGATTGAAAATTTGACACAAGCCTTTTTTGGCCACTTCAAATTGTCAGTTATGTCTTTGCCTTGGAAAGCTGCTTGTAGTTTGTATAGCCAAATGCTTGATGACAACTAGAGCTAGTTTGTCATAGTTCATATGCAAATTATTATTCACAGGACCTTAAAAATATCCCCCTTTCCTCAAAAAATTAATCTTGTTTGTTCAGTTGCTAACTAATGGCTTCATTGTAACTTTTCACCTTAATGGTTTGTTTGGTCATGTTTATCAATATTTCTCTTTTGGACAGCACTAATCATATGGTCTTCCTTTTAACTTTTGCTCAACAATTTCTTAGAGACAGTCCATCTGCAGCTCTGCTCCTACTTTAATTGGACCCCTTGCTAGTGAATGCGAGGACTGGTCCCCTGGATTAGTCAGTCTTTGGTCTGTACACACACACACACACACACACACACAAAAAAAAAAAAATCTGTTTATACCTTTCACTTGGTGTATGTGCATCGGGGTATGTGTATGTTTGCATGCTGATAGTTTTGTATTAAAGGAAGTGAAAGAATGGTGCACACTAAAATGTTTTCTTTCAGAACTTTTATGGCAAGAAAGGATTAAGTGTAATGAGTATCGTTATAATATCAGAATTTAAGGGCATTTTTTGGTTGTATTTTCATTTTTGTTTTTCATGTTTTCAGAAGCTAAAACAGAGAAAACTTTTAAAAACACTCATCATTGTTATATTTGTATGCCAAACAATTTTTATTTGTTTTTCGGACAATGAAACAGATTACAAAAAAATTGGTAAACTATTTGCAAAAACTATTTTTGGGAAAAGGTTTTTGAAAACAAAACACTTTCTTTTTTGGAAATTTTAAATATGTTCTGCACAAAAATGAAAATCATATGAAAAGAATTGGAGTTTTCGAACTTTTTATGGTTTTTGTTTTTGAAAACGCGAAATAAAAACAAAAAATTTAAAATTGATACCACCTTATACTTTCATCTATGCATGAGAATTCATATTGCTGTTTGGCAATGCAGAATTATTTCAACTAAGTATTACCATTCAACCAGATTATATATGTATATATATATTTCATTTCAAATCACAGATACTTCTTTTAAGGTTTTCACTTGATAGATATAGAACAACAAAATTTAATCCAAAATACAGTGCAGAGAACTTAAATTTCTCAACCCTTCAAATTTCAAGCATAAAAACATACAAAAAATTTATACTCAAAAATGTCACCATCACATTATTCTAATGAAAAATTCAATATAAAAATTTTGTTAAAAAAATGAGGAAATTTGTACTTAAGGAGAGCGAATTGTAAGATTTAAAGTAAATAATAAGTAACAAAATAATAAATAAACAAGAAGAAATTGTTATGAATGCTATGTTCGAGTACAAAATATAGTCTAAATAGAGAGGGTTCTACGACAACAAACCCTTCCAATATCATATTAAACTGCAATATAAGAAAATACATCCAACACTCACTGCGAGTCAATCCCATGGCACTCGGCCACACATTCCACCTAAGTATAATCATTTATTTGTATTAGGCATCTCTGGTTTAAGTAACCGCCTTAGTATTTAGTAAATCAAACCAATTTAGTTTTATTATGTACAACAAAGCTTGATCAAGACTTCTTTTAGGTTGTGTTCAGTTGGAAGATTTGAAGATGAATCTGGAAAGGAAAAGAAAAAAGAAAAATGTGTGTGAAATTAAGTGAAATATAAGTATATTTTATTTATATTTCACCTACCTTTTCCATTTCCTTTTTCAATCTCTCATCAAATCTCCCAACTAAATGCAACCTTAATTTTCTTTAGACCCGTTTCCCTATCATTAGTAATTTAGTATAGATATATGTCTCTAGATATTATAAGATTTTCTTTTCACTTCCACAGATCAATTGGGCAAGTAGGGTTGGATATTGATGCATACTCCGAATTGATATCTTGCCTCTTGGAATCATTGAGCAGCATGTTCATGTGTTCTTCACCCACTTGAAACGAAGCCGAGTTTGAGTAGTTGTTGTTATTTTCCTTAGATGCATCCTCTTGGCTGAGCTGAGACGCGACAAATTTATCAAGGACTCGCCAATCAGTCAATTGATCCACTGCTTGGATGTTTGGCTGATTGCTTTGGAGAAAAGTTTCATCTTGTGTGAGTGTTGAGGACTGCAAAGTGCTTCCATTGTTATTCCTATCAAGTCCATAGGGTGCCACTGAGTTGCAGCTTTCGCTGGGCTGTGCAAGTTTTGGGCTTTCTAATTGAGGGAGCTGGAGGAATGGGTCATGAGGCATGTTGTACTGCAATTGAAGCTCTTGCTTGAGGGAATAGTGATGGTGGTATGAATTATAAGGCTGAGATATCCGCCTTGGTGAGTCAAAATCTGGCATGAATGAGACTTGGTCTTCGTACCAACATGGCGAATCATGCTCGCCCATTCTGCGCACTGTGGGCATTCGCTTTTTGAACACCCTGCAGACAACCCATCCTTCTTCCTGATAGAATTAATTGTAGAAATATAATCAAGCATAAGTTCTCATTAAAACAAGTGTTTTACTTAATCATGCTAATACTTTCAATGCGGAAATATAGAATTAGTTCGTGTATGACTAGCAAGATGCAAAAATATAGAATTTGATCTTTGATTATTATCAATAAAGTTTCTTCTTTTTGCTGATTAAAAGAAAAAAAAAAAAAAAAAGATGCAAAAATGTAGAATGAAAAGCACTAGTAGATAAATTTCACAGTATTAATCAAGGTTTTAAATATCAGTTGCTAAGTAATTAATTTTGGATTTCTAATACTATATTGATTGATACTATATAATATTAGCCAATACATGACTATGTTATCGACACCAATATCCCCATAATGTTAATTAAAACTTGTAACTCAAACAATTAACACAAGAAGTACGGTTAAAAATTCACCCCAAGTCATTGAACTTTTCTTTATTTCTACACTTTATTTTCCCTTTGCCTCTATTTGGATAAAAAAGCAATGCACCTTGTGTTAATTTTTCAAATATTTACCACATTATCTCTTCTTCTTTTTTTCCCCTATGTTTATGTCAATCCTTTTAAATATAAAATTTCAATTTTTACAATTTTTAGATGTCCTCCAAGGCCCTAATTATCAAAAGAGCTCTATAGGTGAATTTTTTTGACAATTCATAAATGCCTCCTCAAATTGTAATAGTATAAACAGTAACATTGGAGAAATACAATTGAGCACAAGAAAGATTTTATTCTAATAATTGTCCAAGAAATATATTAAAGAAATTATATATAGATATATATAGTTTAGTTACTTGCCTGAGGAGTCCCATTTTCATTTGTTTCTAGCCTATACTCGTGCATTATCCAATCTGACTTTTGTCCATTTGGTGCTCGACCTTTATAAAACACCAAGGTCTTTCTCATGCCAATCAAACTATGCTTCACATAGATAGCCTTGTCTCTACCAGTAGCCTTCCAAAATCCTGCTTTTGTAGCTCTATTAGTGCGAGTTCCTGTTGGATATTTCTTGTCTTTATGGCTAAAGAAATACCATTCATTCTGCTCTTCAGTTCCAATCTTGCACAGCTCTGTTCATATTTAATTAGGAAACAAAGGGAAAATGCAATTCAAAAAATGTAGTACATGTTACATGAGAGACACATGCAAAATATATATTTTTGTATATTTATTATGTTTCATTTATAAGGATAATGGATATTTAATTCAAAAATAATAATAAAATGTAATGTAATATTAATTTTTAAAATCTAAATGAGGAGAAATGTCCATACTTATGAGATGATAAGGTATATCTTGGGAACGTTTAAGAATTAATTTGCATGTGCTTGTGTGCACATACACATATGAGCTCTTGTGTATGTGGATTTGGTGGTGAAAGATTAGAAGAATAAATGCTACCTTGTAGGTCCCATGGTTCAATTTTGTAAAGATCAACATCTTTAATGACATCAAGATCAATTCTTGTCGAAGCAATTTTTTTTCTAAGGTAGTAATCAACAAGTTCTTCATCTGTGGGGTGGAATCTAAAACCTGGAGGAACATGTGAAAAAGTATTCATATTCTTCCGTGCGATTAACAACCTGCATTTGCAATTGCATGCAATATCAGCTGTTTGAACTATAGGGTATATGCATTATATATTTTTTTTTGATCCGTGGGTATATACATTATATAATGACATGAAAGACCAATTTTCTTGGTTTGTACATTGAGTTTTGATTTAAAGATATTACAAACCTCATTTATGGCAAATAATGTTTTTAAGTTGCAATATTTCAGGAAAACAATATATGCTACATTTTATTGATGATACCCATATTGTGAAATTAAGAAAACTTCCATACAATAGTGATACTGCTCATGCATGGAATTAAGAGAATGAATGCAAAAAATATGTTTCTATAACAACATTAAACAATGTTAAGACTTATTTACGAGCTAGAGCTGTCTTCTTGTATGTTATGAATTATGCATGCCAGTCATAAATCCAGTAAATATAAGCATTGTGATCATAAGCTTTCAATCTAGAATCTTTTAAACAAATGCATAAGCTTTTCAAGCATATATTGTAAAGCTGGGAAAATTTCATTTTTGTTCAACATTTGATGAATCAGTAGATTTTGGAGAGAAAAAAAGAAAAAAACTCAAGACAAATTAAAGTAAGAATATAACGAAATAATAAGCACCAATTCATTGCCTTACAGTTTAGACATAACAAAATATAACTTTTACAGATTCATTTTGTAATCCTTATGTGAAACTAGGCTAAACCTCTGGATCTAGATAGAACTACTCAAGTATGCTGAATTTGCTTGAGGCATGGAATGTGAAAGGATAAAAGTTAACATTATAAGTGAAAAGGTATTACTCCACTCATAAAAGTGAATTGCTAATTAAGAGTGTGTAATCAAAATTCAATACCTTTACTTTTCGAAATTCGAAGAGAACTCATATACAAGAAAACAAATAAAGAAATGTGAAAATCATGGCACATCATACATTAAACCATATCTTCAGAAGCTCTTGACGCTGATCCATTGACATCTTAATTACATACATATACTATATCAGCAAATCAACCATAATGAAGAACAAGGGTCTATTACTTAGATTGCTTCAATCATATGCAATTAGTCTCTACTCTTTATGACCTTAAATTGCTGAAACCAAACAATCTTATCTCCTTGTTGCTACTATCCCTCATCCTTAGAATTGTAATTTTATTTTATTTTTTTTCTAAATAAAATATGAAATCCATTATCATAGAATGGGTGAGATCTTTTTAAAAGAATCTCAAATTAGGAGGAAGTAATATATATGTATGTATGTATGTATGTATGTATGTATGTATGTATGTATGTATTAAGAAAAATATAGAGAATTGAGAATCTATTTCAAAAACAAAATTAGAGAGAAAAAAAGAAACTTGAAATGGGGAGAAGCAAAAGAACCATCTTGGACTATGAATTGTTAGATGGCATAAATAGATATATGAATCATAAATTCAACAAAATGCAGAATAAAACACTCAGGTCATTAGTCATTTAATGATCAGTCTGTAAAAAATTAACCATCCACAAATATTCTTATAGAAAATAATATACCATAAAATATCCCTTCAAAGCCTGATGCTAATTTAACCATACCAACTCACAAAAGAAGAACAAGAATAGGAAAGAAAGAAAGAAAGAAAGAAGAAGAAGAAGAAGATAGAACCTTTGATAATCCTCTACAGTAGACCCTATCCAAGTGAAACTTCTTGATCAGATCTGATTCGTCACAACCTTGTTTTCACCAATCAGTGAAGAGACAAAGACTCCTTTGAGACCCTTTCTTCTGTCAATCTCTATCAAACTTTTAAGCCCACTGAAGCAGACAAAAAAAGATTGTTGGAAGATAAAAGTTCTCCTCGGGAATTGAACTGTGTTTAAATTCTGAGAAAAAACAGTCCTGTGGTTGTCAACAAAGAAAGATCAGATCCCAAGAAAAGAAAATGAATGGAAAAAATGGAGAAGAGACAAGGTTAAATAAGAAGCAAAGAAGAATCATCAATAAGCCTATACGTAACACACACATGACCTACTTATCTCGTTTTGTCACTCTCTCTCTCTCTACATATATATATATATATATATATATCACCTTATCTTTTGAGTGGGAGGGGAGCTGGATTGCTGCAAAAGCTTAGCGGGAAAAAAGGGCGGCGGAAAATGGTGGCGGTGAACTCCACCACCTCCCACCAGCAACTGATTGAGACCTTTTTTAATCTTCTTCTTCCTCCTCTCCTCTTCCTCTCAGAGGCTGCCGGAGAGAGAGAGAGAGAGAGTGAGTGAGTGAGTGAGTGTGCGTGCGTTTAGGGAGAGAGAAACAAAATGGTGAACATCAGAAATCTGACGGCATGGATCACTTGGACCATTTTAAAAACCCCAACCCCGACAAAAAGAATGTTTTATTTTTGGATGACACATTATAAAAAAAAAAATTAAAAAAATCATTTTCATGATAAGTAATTCTCTTGTATGCATTGTATAAATTCATTCATGTGTTTGGTATAATTTTTTTCTATGTATCATAGTTGTATGAAAAAGATTTCTCACTTGTATCGCAATTATTTTATGACTGTTTTATGTATTTGTAATTTAATTTTAATTTTATTTACTTATATATATATATATATACATAATTTGGATGATATATAATTAAATACAGTGGATTACAATGTTTTAGACAAGATACAAATTAAAAATAAACTCGCAGGCAGGCCTACTGAGCATGATGTTTTCTTTCTTAGGTGTGGTGTGTTATACACAACTGATCACCTTTTAGTCTATTAGTCTGGTTAATGAATACCTTCAAAATTAATTAATAAAAATTAAGATAGTCACGCATATTATAAAACGGCCAATGTTCGAACCCCAAAGGAGTTTCTCTTTATTTATTTATTTATTTTTAATTTTTTTTTTTAAAAAAAAAAAAGTACAAAAAGGATAAGCGAAAGCATTTTTAAGGTTGGTGCGGGTACTTAAGGGTGATTAAATATTAGTTGAAGTCCTCACCAGCAATCTCACGCGGCCTCTGGTTGGTTGGTCTGCAAATTTTATAATCCTTTTTATCTTACACTCTTCTCTTTACACATAAACAAATAAAAATATTTTAAGACATTCACAAGTTGTGGGCCTCCACAGACCGACTCAATGAAATACGACAAAGACACCTCTCCAAATACAAACTTTCTTTTCTTTTATTTTTAAAAATAGGAAAATTTAGCTATAAACTCTTTCTACCTTTCTTTCATTGTTAAAAGAATTAAGAAAAAAATTATACTTTCTAAACTCTTTTATAATTATAAAGTCTTGCATAAATGACAAAATTTATTATTTAAATATTTTATATGACTATTATACCCTCAGCTTCTGCATATATAATCAGTTTCGTCATCAACTGTATCATAATCACCATAATCGTGTCTTCGAAGCTTCAGCAGAAGGTCGACGGCACCATAGTCGCGTCTTCCAAGTTTCAGCAGATCAAATTCATTGAAACAATAACACTAACAGATCATCAGAATCAATCAGATAAAGAATATAACAGTTTCGATTACCAGAAATAGTTCAACATTTAAGGACCTAATCCTTATCTTCCAAGCAATTGTAAGGCAACAGATCACAAGAAGTATCGCGTTTTCTTCTTCATTTGATGAGATAACTTCCTGGATCTCTTTTGGCTTCGCTACGTGATACAAATGAAATTCGTAAAAAACGTAAGAGACGTGATCCATAAGTTTTCGTTGTAATATTATATAATATTTTCCTCCATTTTCTCAGCACACAAACGGAATCGATCTATAATATTTGTGTGTATGAGTGTTGTAATGTTATATATATATATATATATATATATATATATTTGAGTGTATGAGTGTTGTTGAACACATGTATTCTTTTCATTGAGATTTGTGATTGTTGATCGAGTTTTAGAAGTTTTTCTTCTCAATTAGATATGTTGATTTGTTGATTAATTTATTTTGTTTTTGTTTGTTTGTTTTTTTATTTTTTTATTTATTTTTGTTGTTTTTTATCTAATTTCATTTGATAGAACCAGAGTAAAATTTACTCTGTTCTATTGCTCTGTTTTTTGTTTCAGATAATGAGAGTAAAATTTTACTCTAATTCTATTGCTCTGTTTTTTGTTTCAGATAATGAGAGTAAAATTTTACTCTAATTCTATTGCTCTATTTTTTGTTTGAGAGAATTAGAGTAAAATTTTATTCTGGTGTTAGAATGACAGTAAAATTTTAGTGTCAAGAGGTGGTCATTGCCAAACACTTCAACCGCCACAAACACTGCCTTCGCTTTTTTACTTTTGTACAGAGTAACATTTTACTTTTAGCTTCAAAGTCTCACAGTTTACTTATTCTTCAGAGTAAAATTTTACTTTTATACATAGTAAAATTTTACTTTTGTGTAGAGCCTAACATTTTACTAGTTTTTCAGAATAAAATTTTACTTTTATACAGAGTAAAATTTTACTTTTAGTTTCAGAGTCTCACAGTTTACTCGTTTTTCACAGAAAAAATTTTACTTTTATACAGAGTAAAATTTTACTTTTGCGTAGAGTCTAATATTTTACTAGTTTTTCATAGTAAAATTTTACTTTTATACAGAGTAAAATTTTACTTTTAGCTTTAGAGTCTCACAGTTTACTCGTTTTTCAGAGTAAAATTTTACTTTTATACAGAGTAAAATTTTACTTTTAAATATACAGTGAAGATGGCTTAATAGGAGAGCTGATAAATATGAGGGTAATATAATAAAAGAAACAAGTTTTAAAATATTAGGGGGTTTTGAAAGTATTTATATAATTCTTGTCCTTTTGAAAAACAAATTAGATAGTGAGGGGGCTATCACCAAATCCCCCTTAAAAAAATTACACTTTATCTTTTATCTTTTAGTCATTTTATTATTTTGGACTTTTAAATTTGTTTTTTTATTTTTACGTTTCAAGTTTTTTTATTTACTCTTAAAGTTAATTTTTGTTTCAAATTAAATAAAAAATTATTATGTTAATTAGCACATAATATAAAAATATATTATTATATTAAAATTTAAGTTTGTGTAAAATGTATGAATTATACATAGGCCACGTTTGAGAATAGATTATTATAGTAATTTTTTGGTTAAAATATGAGGTAAAAATATTAGTAAATGTGGAATGAATTTTTAATTTTTTATGAAAAGATGTGCAAAAAATAGAGAGAAAAAAAAATTCTTGACTTTTTGATATACGTTATAGGTTTTTAATTTTTTTATTAACTTTTTTACTTTTAGGCTAAAACATATGTATCCAAACAAAGCCATAATAAAATATTTTTATATAACATGGCTATTAATGTGTAATTTTTTGTCTAATCTTTAAAAAGGTTATTTTAAAATAAATTTTAAAAAACTTATAATATAAAAAGTCAAAATAAAAAATTAAAAATTAAAAAAAAAAAACTAAAAGAGTCAAAAGTGAAAAAATAATCAACATCTTGTTTGGAATGATCTAAATAAATACATTTTTTTACTTTTTATGAAATATAGGTTGGGTATAAGTAAATATGGCAATTTGAACCTGGGCCGACGGGGACCCGATCCCCCGACCCCGATTAGAACGGGTTTTCCCCGAAAATTACCCCCATAAGGCCGGGGATGGTATTGAAAATTAAATCCCCCACAGTTTTTGGGCTGGGAACGGGGATAGGTTTCCCCGGCCCCGGCCCCTGCCCAGATAATGTCACGACCCGAACCCGCCCCTATGGGTTAAGGACATAATCGGCCAGTAATCAAGGGATTACCTACGGCCTCAAACCAAACAAGACGTATCTCATCAGAGTAAAAGGGCCAAACGAAAACAAATTTAAAACTTTTGTCCATAGAGCTTTGCTTACATGGCACATCATAACAATCCATATATATATACCTGTTAATAACTCACGTCAAAGGGATAATAACACAAAGTTCTATACATACACAGGATCATTCAAGTCTAAGTCAGTTAAACCCAAGAGTTATATGCAAAGGTAATCCGATATTTTCGCCAACATAACAAAACTATATTAATAGAACAAAAGGGGCAAAGACAAGTCTCGTGCTTGAGACGTTTGGGCTGACTCTCCAAAACCTTGACTGTTTCTCACATATTTCACCGAGGCTGGGTTTGGACGTCCCTTGGCTCACCTACGTAGACATGGATGAGCGTGAGCGAAAGCCTAGTGAATAATATCAAATAAGGAAGATACATGAACAATCTTTGAAACAGTTACATCAGACGGCCTTGGGCCCAATTCATGTTTCTATCTAATGCATCAATCGACTAAAGTTCTAGACGTATCAAACAGTCTCGGGCCCAATTAACTCATACCCGACGGTCTTTGGCCCATCCATTCATGTCTAACGGCCTTTTGGCCCAATCGTTCGTATCCGGCGGCCTTTGGCCCAATCGTTCAGATCTGACAGCATTCAGTCCAATCGTCTATATCCGACGGCGTTCGGCCCACTCGTTCATACCAATCTACCATTCATGTCAGACGGCCTTTGGCCCAATCATTCATATGTCAGACTATCATTCGTGTCAAACTATCATTCATGTTAGACGGCATTTGGCCCAGTCATTCATATGTCAGACTATCATTTGTATCAGACTATCATTCATGTCAAACGGCTTTTGGCCCAGTCAATTGTATCCAACGACCTTTGGCACAATCATATAGCATAACAAATATTTGTCCTCAATTCAATATAACAAACTTACAAGACTTATATGAAAGTAAGCAATTGGACAATTAACATACTTCAGATATTTTTATTAAGATATTACTCACAGTGATCTGCCGGTGGATTTGCCTTCGTGCTTGACCCTACACATTTCATGAAAATAATGGGTCACAAACGATTCATTCCGTTCTTAATTCATATATTCCTCTTAGGCTTCGTTCTTATCCTTTTAACTCATTTACAATGTTTAATGCATGCCTGAGAGTGCTCAGAAATGAAAGAGAGCGGAAAATGAAACACAGAACACGTTTATAAAATTTTTGAAATAGGGGTCCCCGCTTGAGCGTGGGTTCCGCCGCTCGAGCGGACCCTCATGGTCTGCAAAAGTATTGGTTACCTCATTTTTACGCTCGAGCGTGAATTCGAACGCTCGAGCTGAAGGTCACACTACATGGCTCCCCGCTCGAGCGTGAATCTCCCCGCTCGAGCGGACATCCATGTCTGCAAAAAGTTTTGGGAGCTAACATTTCCCGCTTGAGCGGCGCTTTCTCCGCTCGAGCGGACATGCAAAATTCTGGGTTTTCCAGAATTGTTCTTGACGCTCAATTTCAACATTCAAAGGTTCCAAA